CCTGAGGCGCAGGGCGAGGCGGTAGAGGGGCACGGCGGCCTGGAAGTCGTTCATCTGGCGGTACATGGTCGCCAGGTTCGTCAGCGCGGTCGCGAAGAGCGGGTGCTCGGACCCGAGGCGCTTCGCGTAGATGTCCATGGCCCGCTCGTACAACGGCTTCGCCTCGGCCCACTTCTTCTGCGCCGCGAGGAGCGCCGCCATGTTGTTCACGAGCGTCGCCACGTCCGGGTGCTCCGGGCCGAGCTGGCGCTCGCGGATGCCGAGCGCGCGCTCGTACTGCGCCATCGCCTCGCCGTACCTGTGTGCAAATCAAATCTTCAACCCGACTTCAATGTGCGCGTATTCGAATGTTTTGACACAAGCTCTTCGGCCGGGCTTCGAGAACTCGACGAGAGCGATCGATCCGTCCAAAAATCAGCCGAATCGACTTCGATTTGACCGAGCTAGAGAATTCTCAAGTTTGGTCAGGACCACCCAAACCAGTGGTTGGTTTCCACACGGACACGTACTGCCGCGTCTGGTAGAGGAGGCTCGCGAGGTTGTTCAGCGCCGTCGCCACGTCCGGGTGCTTCTCGCCCATGCGCCGCTCCGTGATGTGGAGCGCCCGGCGGTAGAGCGGGTCCGCGTGCTCGTAGCGGCCCTGCGCGTAGTGCAGGTTCGCTTGCGTGTTGAGGAGCTTGGCCACGTCCGGGTGGTCGGGCCCGAGCTGGGCCTCGCGGATCTCCAGGGCGCGCCGGCTCGGTCCCACGGCGTCCTCGAAGTTGCCCTGGCGCTCGAGGCACAGGGACATGTAGGACAACAGCGGGCCGAGCTCCGGGTCGTTGTGCGAGAGCCGCTCCTCCTTGAGCCGCATGGAGTCGCGGAAGATGGGCTCGGCCTCCTTGTACTTCTCCTGGGCGTAGAGCACCATGGCGAGGCCCTCCATGGCCCGCGCGTGGTCGATGGACCCGGCGCCGAAGGTCTGGATCGTCAAATCCACAATCCTCCCCTGGACCATCTCCGCGAGCTCGAACTCGCCGATGGCGCGCATGAGGTGGTTGAAGGTCGTCAGCCGCTCGAGGGCGCCCTCGTGGTCCTCGAGCCACTTCATGGCCACGCTCTCCATGGTCGAGATCTCCGACGTCGGGATCTGCATGAGCACGGACGCGCGCCGCCGCTCGTCGTCCGCGCCCTCGCCCCCCAATAAGAACGACCGGAAGAAGTCGTAGACCTTGCAGGCGTCGTGCTCGTCCGACAAGTTCAACATGACCTTGTGGTGGATGACGACCTCGCAGGTGTGGGGGATCTTCGCGCCGTCCGCGGCCGCGAGGTCCGTCGTGACCTTGACGTTGACCTTGAGGTCGCGGTAGCCCGTGATCGTCGGCCTTTTGACGCGGTTCGCGACGCGGCAGACGGCCAGGGCCGGCGACTCCACGATCGCTTTGTAGACGTCGTACATGACACCCTCGTCGACGCAGACGACCTGGCCCCGGACGACGTCCACGACGAACGCCGCGGCGT